ATCCCTCCCCTACAGAAGGTTTTTCTAACTCAAAACCTACATGCTTTGGGTAAGCCAATACCAACGTCTTAACCTCCCAGTACAGTCTTTATATTACGTTATAGCTCGTCTTTGTGAGCGGAGGGGTTAAACTCTGTATATTGAGCGTCTCAAAGCGAAACACTGCAGAGAGCCTCCGGGCACCATGACTACTTTTGTAGAATGTCACACCTTGTCTGTGACCTCACTCTGCACGAACACTCCTTTCTTTAGGACCAAAGGGAGCTAAAAACAAGTTTGTTTGTACAAGTAATAGTGATACAAATAAGTTAAAGAAAGGGATTAGAATGGTATTTGGTGTTGGTTTTATTTAAAGGGCCACTCCAAGCACCATTAATACCTATTCCTTTGCAGAAGTCATGATGGTGGGAGCTCCTGTCGCCTGTTACAGCTTCAGTAAATTACAAGTAAATAAAAACCTGCTGCTGTTATAAGCCCCCATAAACAGATGTTTACAGGAATTGGTCAATGAAAAAAAAAGACTGATTGGATGAGAACTACCAGCCACTTCCTGGTCCCTAGAGAAAGTTTACCTTTACAGGAACTAAGGGATCTTAAAGGCGAGCCACCTCTTGGCAACTTTTTAAAAAGCTTTATCTCCAAATTACATGAAACAGCCCAGACTGTCCCTTTAAACAGCTGACCGAAAGCAGTTAATTCTCCCATAATCCTTCTTGCCAGGAGTGGCTGCAGGTTGATACCTGCTCATTAACAATCCTGTATGGCTGGTTTGTACCAGAAGTCTGTTGTCCTGGAAACAGACTGTACATGGAGATAAATTACAAGTTATCTTATACTTTCCTTTTCAACAGATTAACAATGCATTCCCTTTAACGTGTGAATGGCCAATGGCGGCTAAGGCTTGGCAATTCTCTGATGGACTGCAACTCCTATAAATTCTTGAGTTCTTTAAACATTCGCCTAAACAATTTAAATATTAAATAAAAGAGCACCGTGACTTCTGCAAAGGAATAGAATTTTTTTGGTGCTTCGAGTGTTCCTTCTTAATAAAACTAACAATACCATTTTTTAAACTTTTTTTCTGGCACTTAGCCATTTTTATTGAAACCTCTGTAGGAACGTCCGGACATCCAAGCCCGTTGTTGATTTCTATGACAGCGTTTAATATTACTGAACTAGCACATACAATGCTGTCACCTCGTCTTTGCATTGGTGAATGTCGTCAGTAAAGTGACCTAATTACTACAGCAGCGGCTGGGGTAGATCCTGGACGTGTCATTGATGTAATTACAAAATGCATCTGACGTTTTGCTCTAACAATACGTTATTCACTAAGCTTTAAATTATCAAAGGTAAATTGTGGAGTTGGTTTACTTAAGTTAGTAGCCTCTATAATTTACCAAGCTTTCTCTGAGTAAGCCGGATTGGCTCTAGAAGTGCCTAGAATCACTCGAGAACTGCTCAGGGCTATTTCTCCACAATACATTGTAACGGTTTGCAAGATCTCTTAAAGACAAAGTACACCGTTTAAGAAATACTTTTCTTTCTAAAAACTTGTAATAATTGCATATGCCCATAACAATATATATTCCACAGCGGGTAAATACCTGAGCACAGGAAATCAGTGGCGTGAGAGTTAACAGAGAGGTCACATCCATTCTATTAACCCTTACACTGCTGCCTCTGGTATGAAGAGTTAGCAGGGACTAAATACTTTTGGGAGGGTCATTGTTGTTAATATCAGAATCGTATACTTGGTATGAGGTTTTGACCACTTCTTTGGTGAATTGTGTGTTTTTACCAGATCCTGATTTGTACATTTTGAGAGATTTGCTAAATTTGTTCGGAAAAAGTGATTATCGCAAATGAGTGTTTTCAGGAAATAGTGAATGAGTTTTGGGGACGTGATATAAGTTGTTGGTTAGCAGAGACAATGCTCCTAAACACAATTATAGACTGGAAAATGTATTAACCCCTTCATTGCTGTATTATACGGTGATTAAGGCGAATAGTAACCGAGATGGATTATTTTCCCCCACCCTATAACTATATATGGCCATGATTTACGGCCTGTCTTAAATAAAACCAGATCATAGCTCAGGTATTTAAACCAGTGTACAGTTTAATGCAGATATTTGTGAATATTTCAATTAAAGTTTCAGTTTTTTATAGGGAGGAATTAATTTCTATTGACTTGTTTCTACAATAATAAGCGCAACGCGTTATATTGTGCGTAAAGGAACACTGCAAGCATCATATGGCACTGACTTGCAGTAAGATGGCAAACGATTTAAGTACAGTTTGACTAGTTCCTGGGTCCTGCTGGGCTTTTATCTGGTATCCACTTTTCGGAAGCAGAAGCAACCAGCACTACATCCATTGACTGTGAGCATTGGCAGAGTCCGAATGCTGCAGAGTGAGTGCTCAGTGGGACCCCGGTAACTTGTCTGACCATGCTAAAATGGCTTGGCATCTTACCTTGTAGCAGTCGGGGCACTCCCAGCACCATATTAACCTCAGTGAGCGGGGATGGTGCCTGGAGTGTCCCTTTAAGAGAACCTTTTATGTACACATTTATATGAACACGGTTTCACCTTACCAGGAACTAGCAATACTGTAGTGTGTGTACATAAGGCTGAATGTCACCACACACCCTTTGTGGACTTCTGACCTGCAAGTGACTCAGTAAACCTCACAAACTTCAGTAATCGGTTTATAGTAACAAGGATGTCCGCTCAAAATTGGGGCAAAACTACTTTAAGTATTGTGTCCCCTCCCCTGTCTGGGCATGTCATACAACAAAATTTGGGAACTATGGATCTGTTTTTTTACACAGACCTGTAAGAGAGGAGAAGTTAAATAAGATATACCTAACTCTCTTGCCACCGCCATGTTTCTTGTTGGCTCAGTCTGCCGGGAGCAGCATCACTGGGGAACAAACCGGTATCTATGGAAGGTCCTACAAAGACCCCAGAATCCTCTATAGATATTCTCAAGATCACAGCTTAATTTCCTCTTTATATTGTATCTTATGGATGGAACGTCCATTGCTGCGGTGATCAGGAGGGGAGTGTATTGCCACAAGGAACGCTGTAATGGCAGAATTGATATTTATTGCATACACGGTATGAGCTGTTGGATTGAAGGTATGCCTTACTAGTATCTAATTGTATTATTCTGTGATTGTATCTCACCTCAAAATAAACTTCCTGATCCAAATGGCAAGATAAAGAATCACAGAGATTTCATTTAAGCAGAGCAGACAGAGCTACTACCCAGGGTTTCATACAAGCCGCCCGGGTACTGTGTGTGTAAACTGCTCGAATTAGATCGGTCACCCATAGCCTTTACTGGCACCAAAGGGGGGAGATGTGCGGGTCCATGCCCAGTTCCCAATGAAACATTCATTTATCTGGAGAAGCAGGAGGGATATTTAGTTATATGGTGTGTGGACCATATACCGGTTTTCCACTTGGGTAAGTGGGATCTTCGTGTTCCCATTACCCTTAGGAGTTTTTTTTTTATTAATAATATTCAGAGACTTATGCTAGCTGCGTTTTGGAGTTTAGCTGCTCTGGCTCCAAGTTTATTCTAATTAACCCCTTAAGGACACAGCTTCAGAAATAAAAGGTGACAATGACAAAATATTGCCATCATGTTTACTTAATGGTTTAAAGGAACACTCCAAGCACCATAACCACTACAGCGTAGTGTCCTGCCAGGTGCCGCTTCCCACCTCCACTACCTCCGAAAGATAGCTGGCAATTCTGATTGGCTAAGAGTGGTCATCTGATTCTCAGCTAATGACCGCTCCCAGCATACTCAGGGAGAGTTACTCCAAGCTCCTAAGCTTGTTGGCTGAAATAGTAGTGGAGGCAGGGAGCGACGCCCAGCAGACCTCCAGAACGAAGTCAAACCTTCTAAAGCGCTTTGATTGTACTAGTCATGATGCCAGTAGCCACATCCAGTTTTTGCAGAGCTGCTGGACGCACTCTCGCCCAATCAATGAGTCTGTGCACAATCCGGCTCCTTGCAACAGGACCACTGCAGAAGACTGAAGTGGTTATAGTGCTTGGAGTACCCCTTTAGCTCATTATGTAAATGTTTAGAGTAGCTTACCACATTTTACTAAAGTTAAGCTTGCACATGCGACAAATAATTTCAGTGACATTCTAAAGCAGAGTATGACTTTCATAAGAAGTCTATATGATGAATCGATTCAAAAACACAGCTTTAAGAATCTGTTACAGTGTTGGGTACCTATTGCAAACAATAGAGATTCATTTACTAGTGTCTCAGCTTCTTATTTCCTATTGTGTAATGCCTTGCGCTCTAGGCCTATCCAGGTAAAGTCAATATTTATGAATCAAACATTGTCATGTGCGTAAAAGGTTTTGAATTACTTTCCCAAGTCTGTTTGGTAATTTATAAAAAGTGAAAAAGCTTAACATTTACAGCTTACCTTGAGTGTCAAACAAAGTTCCAGCTGACCGCCATTCCTCTCTGTTGCAGATCTGCTGTTTTTAACGGGACTGTCGTCTTCCGTATTCCTGGTGTCAGAACTTATCAAATTCTGTGAGCAGCAATGCTGTCGGAAGAAACCCGTAAAGGTTCTGGAGGAAGAAATTTAACGAGCACCTTCTAGCGGCCTGTCTTCACCCTCGTCGACCCGTGTTGCGCCACTGTAACCCGTCCCTTCCCATGTGATTTCCAATATCACTTGGCAATGCCATGTACTGTTTACGTATTTATGTAAAGTTGGCACTTACTGTGTTTAATGGGAAAAACAAACATTTATCTGGCATGTTTCTCCAACAGACTTCCAAAAATGTCACGCATATTTTTTTTTTTTTGATCAGCTGCAATTAATTACCCACATCATCAATACTTTCTTTTTGTATTTTATAATTCATTTTAAAATAAAGACTAATCATTTATTTTTTAACAATGAAAACCAACACATGAATGGTTTCTTTAAAAAAAAAAAAAAAAGTTGCTATGTACTACAAAACAATCTTAAGAATGGATAACAGGATATATTTTTCACAAAGCTATATAGTGCTCCCTGCTGGTGCACAATGCAGGTACAAGTATGTGCCCATCTCTGAAATCACTAACAATACACAGTTATTACACCATTGCCAATGAACCCCAACTTATAAATCGCCACTAAAGCAAGCCCCCTCAATTTAGAATCCATTCTGGACAAAGGCCATTAAGCAGACACCCAGTGGTAGAAAGGGGATCAAGGCATTCCAAATCTTCCGAACGCGCCCTACTTTGAGAGTGTGCGTGACGTAGTAGTGATGGTGAAAGAGTTCACTATTTGTCTACACTAGACCGGAAATAATTATAAAATCCCCCTTAAGATCCACCCACACTTAACCATAATAATATAAATATTACTATTTTAACACTGCCACCACCAAGACAATTTATAAATGGGGTGCCTTGGTCCCCAAGGTAAATCAATAATAATAACCCACCAAATACAACTTAGCACAATATTTATGTAATTGCAAAACACAAATTAGTCTCTTCAGGCAACGTGATTCTTTACCAGACAAAAGCAGAACTAAAGCAATATTTATTATGAGCAAAAATATGTCACGGTGCATACAAAGATATAGATGACAATCAAATTAGTTACACCAACAACAGATAAAAACAAAAGGGATAAAATAGCAGGAGTCCTAATCACTTACTAAGGTTTCAAAGTAAAACTTCTGCCCAGGGGGTCTCTGGTAAGGTAGATGGTGACTCAGTCAGAATTAGATTCATTCTGGCCCCCAAACAAATACAATACACACTTCATTATCATTAGATATATACCCTGTGGATTCCCAATCCCCGCCCAGAGGTGGAGATAAGGTGGACCTATAGTAACTATAAGTGACCACCCCCTTGTGTTCCAGACCAACAGTAATCCAAATAAAAACTGTTTCTTCTATCTCCTCTTTTGTACCTGCCACAGAAATTATAATTGCACCTATGAATGTGTTACCATTTTTCCACTCCGTAGATAGGTCACACTCCTTACTTGTGACCCAATATAGCAGACATCACAATCCCTTCCCCTATGGTTAAGTTATGCAAATCATGTTTAAGCTTGAGTAGACGATTGTGCCCGTCCCATTCCAAATATAACAAAAAGGAGGCTCAATTATCATTCCATATTAATGTTTCTTTTGGATATGATACTGTAACACAAGGCTTGTTTTTCTCTTGAAAGCGAATGATCATTAACATATCAAATAAATCAATTAAAAGGTACCGGCCATATGGCTGAAGTCAGCTAGTTTACTTTGGAATCAGAGATCCAGGCATCTCAAGTGTAGAATCTCACACCCTGCAGAGCCTTTGACTAATCAAAGGATCTTCACATTCCTTTACCATTTACATGATCCCTTCTATCATCTGATCTCTACCAGGTGGCCAATTCATATACACACTACACAAATTACATTAAATGGCCATATTCTATTGTGCAACAATGAATTATGTGCCCATGGCGTGACCAAGTATCTTCAATTTTATTTATCTGGATAAGTGAGACACTGCGACATTTCTTTGTCAAGCTATATCACACCAGAAATGGCCTATAAATTGTTATTTATATGGTTAATTCTGGTGTGATGGAGCTTGACAAACTGAAGATACTTTGAGTGCCTGGATCCTCTTTCTACCACTGATATCTACTTCCTGGGTCTGGTGCTGGCCCTTTGATCCAGTTTAGCACCCAGATCTTCACGTGATTGGAGTGCAGGTTTTTTTTTTTTATCTCTTTTTACAAATTAACTAGACACTCAACTTTTTTATCCTAACTTACAATTTCTGTAGGCGACACAGAACAATGTTGCAGACAGAATAAACCCATATACCGTATAAAATCTCCTACTTACCAGTGTCCGTTTAACATTTCAAAGAGTGCTCACGGTCTCTGAATTTCCTGTGTGTCACAAGTGTATATTTGCTGAACTAATGCTCTCTGTGAAGGCGGAATCTAATGTCGTCAAACTGCGATACAGACTGGAGCACTTTGCGCTGTCCATTAATCAATATAAACTGTATATTTTACATCACACAGGACAGAAAGAAAAATGAGTTACATTTCAGTTACCCTGCAAATAAAATTACTATTAAACCCAAACCAAAATCTGACCTCATATACTGCAATTACAACGTAATACCTACGTAATTAAAATTACACAGAAACAATTTTAAATAAGATTTTTTTCCTGACCTGCTATTTTATAGCGAAGTCTCCCCATTATTTGTTTCTAGATAAACTTCAGATAGAGAGATTAACCCATCAAATATTTTGTAACCAAGACTTTGCACTTATTAAATAATATATATTTTTTTTTTTATTGCACTTGGAGTTAATATAAAACGTGTACCAAATTATTTTCCCCAATACTAACTTCCTTGTTCAGTTTGGGCAGTGTCCAATCAAATGCTGCAGACACAGATACAATGTGCTGTACATTGGAAAGGTCTAAAAAGACATAAAAATAGGCATTATATGCATTATTAAATACGGTTTCTTTTACAAAATATATAAGTGTAATGAAATACTCACATTGCGCTGGTATAGCTCCCAAGAGTGGAGACAAGACTACAGGCTTGGAAGAATTGTTGTTTATTACTGTGAAGTTTAGAATTCTTCTTTTTATCTAATCTCACAGAGGTGGTAACAATCAGAGCAGTAGAAAAATAGGTAGTAAATGAACATTTTTTTTCAGGAAGTGTTTAGGAACGCTGTGGGAGTCTCAGTCAGGGGAGGTGTGGCTAGGGCTACATAAACAAAGTGGTTTAACCCCTAAATAAAATAGAATTAAGCAGTGAAACTTCAGGGGCATGATCTATACATCAAAACTGCTTAATTTCACTAAAGTTGTTTTGGTGCTTAGACTATCCCTTTAATGTTACACTAAAAACGGCAAATCATTTCCAATTCTCAGACATACCAATAAGGAAAGCATCACAAACACTTTGATTAACAAATAAAATAATACACTTTAATATACATCATAGGAAAACCATAAAGCATGTTAGGAGGATAAAGTACTAATATTTCAGTGCAAAACATTCTGTTCTGGATTTCTGGGACAGCCATACATGATCTGGAGAGTCTAATAAACTAAAATAGAATTATTTAGCCTTTAAACCATTATTATAAACAAGTAAAATAAGATTGAATAAAACAAGTCTGGGCTTCTTACATATCCTAAAAATTGCCGTTACCAGCAGTGACATTGAAAATTCTTTGTGACAGCAACGTTTTAAACGTATTAGCTATAAAATCCAGTATTAAATGACTACATGATTAGTTAACTCACAGCTCAACTCAGATCTCTGTGAGCAGAGTCTTAGAATATGAGCTTGTGTGTTTTTACGGGACTTAGTTGTTGGTAAAGCACAAAAGGTAGAGGACCTACAACAGCAGGTAATTAAAGCACCATTATAGAAAAATTTCATTTCCAGACACCAAAAGCATCGCTTCAGCTATCCGTGGACAGAGCAGTTAGAAGCAAGGCCATCAAGCAAGGGGTAGAATAATTCCTTCAAGCGGCCAGACTGCCTGACTCCAGTAGTCCTGTCCGCAGACGAATCCAAATGCAGGGAGGGCTTTAGATAGCAGCGATGAAAACACTGTAAAAAAGGCTGTTCTGGAGTTAGATTTGTTTCCATACTAGTTATGAGGGAGGGCTTCTATGTGAAACTGGCCCTTAAATTACACACAGGAAATCAAATTAGACCCAAAACCTTGGTGGCATTCCATGTGTTACGTGAAGTTCATACAGGATCTCCTAACACTCATCATTTTCTACATCTCTTAGACCATCGCTTTGCCGAGTTTTTCCGGTCATCTCCAGCAATGCTCGTGCCTCTGGATCCACATCCAAGATGCTCTTTTTGTTTTTGGCCTGAAGACAAATTAAAGCGAAAATCAGTAAGTATTACAAAACGTTTAACGAACCAACAGGAAAGCACATGAGAAGAACTATAATAATGTGCAAGTATCTACCATGACTGCCTGGACCTGCCATACCATAAATAAACAACCTACAGAGGCAGACATATACAAAAGTTCAACGAAAACCAAGTTCTACCAGTAAACTGCTCAAAGAAGGTAAAGAGGAAAGGATTTGCACGAATATTAGGGGGTCTATCAGATCAGTGGTTCCCAACCCAGTGCTCAAGTACCCCCTAACGGTCCAGGATTTAGGGATGACCCAGTTGTGTCTAAGGCTATGATCATGTCTCATCCTGCGGCTACTCCATCAGTGTGTCTGTAACACTTGATCAGTCGGCACCGTGAACAGAGGATTAACTAGCATGTACAGAGAGAAGTGTGTCACTAGAGGTACAGATCTCCCATCCCATCACTAGGTTAATGCTACCTGAACGGAGGATTAACCAGAATGTACAGAGAGAGAGAGAGAGCTGTGTTACTAGAGGTAAAGATCTCCCATCCCATTACTAGTTCAATGCTACCTGAATGAAGGATTAACTAGCATGTACAGAGAGAGCTGTGTCACTAGAGGTACGGATCTCTCATCCCATCACTAGTTCAATGCTACCTGAATGAAGGATTAACTAGCATGTACAGAGAGAGCTGTGTCAGAGGTACAGATCTCCCATCCCATCACTAGTTCAATGCTACCTGAATGAAGGATTAACTAGCATGTACAGAGAGAGCTGTGTCACTAGAGGTACAGATCTCTCATCCCATCACTAGTTCAATGCTACCTGAATGGAGGATTAACTAGCATGTACAGAGAGAGCTGTGTCAGAGGTACAGATCTCCCATCCTATCACCAGTTTAATGCTACCTGAATGAAGGATTAACTAGCATGTACGGAGAGAGAGAGAGAGAGAGGTGTGTCACTAGAGTTACAGGCCTCCCATCCCTTCACTAGCTCATCGGACCAGCTGCCACATCTGGGTAATGGGCTTGGGTGCAGCCACAATGGTTGGATTTCAGACACAGAATAAAAACAGATTTAGTCTAACTCCACGTTACGCACGGTAATCAGCACCTCATTCTGGTTGTATAGTGCGAGTGTTTATTATTAGGCGGAATAGCTTGTCGCTGGATCAAGTAGGTCTTCTCGCTGGATGACATTCTGAAAATAGTTTCAGATTCATTTGCATCACGCGAACCTCATGAACCTTTACCTAGTGAAAACGGAGCTAAATAAACTATTTTTCAATGTAAAGCGCAGTTACAATGATCTGAAGTAAACTGTAGATTACCATCCTTCGCTAACGTGGGGTTAATATGACGAGTGATCCCATCAGATTCACGGAGCACGAAATGGATATTAGTTAACGCACAGCAAACAGGGACGGAGACAGGTGGAGTTATACCTGTACATTTCACATGAATTCAAGACCAACGTATCGGATTGACTCCTTTCTAACCAATTTACTGTCATTGTAAAATACATGTAGCTAAAGAAGCTCTATTGCCGTGAAGGTCCGTAAAATTTTTGCCCTAAAGAGGAACATTTGGAAGGTGACAATGGGTGTGTAAACGTGACTTCTGGCAGTTGAAGAAGCCCTACATACCAGTAGATGTTCGGGTATATCTCCAACAGCCCAGACTTCCAAGGAATCAATGGTGAAGTCCTCTTTTGCAGAGAGCTGGGGGCTGTTGTATGTGGTGCATCTGGGTTTGGCTTTGCTGTGTCCTGTTCCATAATCACTGTCTATCCACAGGCCAAAATAATTATGCTGGCCTCCCATTCCCTGCAAGAAAGGAGATTGAAACACGATGAATATTGTAGGGCGTATTATCTGTCATTTCCAACAGAGAGGTAAAAAAATAAAACAATCCTTAAACGTGAGCTCTTATTGTGCTCAGAATTAAACCGTAAATCAGTCTGACAACCGGTGTTACCTAATGCAATAATGAGAAGTGTAATGTGTGCAGAAGTCCAGGTAAAGCGGTATCCCAAGGACTCTGTATGATATTAAAAGGGAGTATTCTACTGCCTGGACAATTACCGGATAGCACAGTCATGTAGAAATACTGAAAACCACAGTTATCCCCATACAGGTTTCTGTACGGCGTGGTAACGGAACATTTACTGCGTCTCCCACATGTAAAAAGAATTACAAAGTTCTAGCTTGGGGTCGCAGTAAAAGAAAAAACATGGCAGTGTTAAGAGAATTTAATGCACGTCTTAGTAATTAATTTAAATAATAAGCCATCCCTCCAACAAGCCAGGATTTCATTACAAGTTATGTTCCTAGAACCAAAACGTGGACAACTTCCTTCTATATTAAAAAAAAACAAAGTTAAAGGAACACTATAGGGTCAGGAATACAAACTTGTATTCCTGACCCTATAACCCAGGCTTCCCCAAACTCCGGCCCTCCAGATGTTGCTGAACTACAACTCCGCCTATCTATTTCATTCACAGAATCATGGGAGATGTAGTTCAGCAACATCTGGAGGGCCGTAGTTTTGGGGGAGCCTGGTTTAACCTATCATTTAGGGGGCTTGCCTCCCCCCCCCTTTAACCCTCATTAAAAGCATGAAAAACTCACCTTATTTCCAGTGCTGCGCAAGTCTGCCGGCACTGACCCCAACCCCCTGGTGACGTCATCGGAAAGCATTGGATTGGCTAAAATCAGCAAGGGTGTGGAGCCAAACACTGTTTTGGCCAATCTGCACCTCCTCATAGAGATGCATTGAATCAATGCATCTCTATGAGGAAAATTCAGCGTCTCCATGCAGAGCGTGGAGACGCTGAACGGCAGTGCTGCCTACTGTGCAGCACTGAGCCAGGAAGCACCTCCAGTGGCCATCTGAGGAGTGGCCACTTGGAGGTTTCCCTACGGGCAATGTAAACACTGCCTTTTCTCTGAAAAGTCAGTGTTTACATGAAAATGCCTGAAGGCAATGATTATACTCCCCAGAACATCTACATTAAGCTGTATAATATACATAAAGCTGTAGTTGTTCTGGTGACTATAGTGTCCCTACAATGAAAGCCATCCAAAAATAAGTAACTTATTGTTTGCTAATCTTTTTTATTCTACACGCATAGTAAGCCGAATCACAAACAACTAAAAGTCATAAAATTCTTCCTTGGAACGGATTAACTTCTCACATGGCAGTGACACCCTGCCCCACAATAAACCTGCTTCAACACCGTCAACTTCAGAGCTGTTAAATTAAAACAAACACCCAGTGTACATTCTAGGTTTTGTTTGGCTCAGAATTTGGACAATTGCCTCAGTCCTTAAGGGAATAAAACATCTGTGCTTTTAGTATTCTGATTATCATTTCAAGAACTCACAAATTTTCATATCGA